CAAATAGACATGAATTGTTCGTAAGTTACCAGATAAAACTGAACATTACTCGGTCACGGCCTAACATGGCCTAAACCGAACTTAACCTAGCCTTAAACATGAATGGCCGGATATGATTTGATCATAATGAACTTAGCATAATCTTGTTAACACTAAAAGAATGTTAGTATATATTTACCTCCTCAAACGATCAAGAAATTATGCTTGGCTTCTTTTCCGATTGCTCTTGTATGCGCGTGCGTGCAGTTCTTCCTTTTAATTGTAAATTGGTGATAATTAATATAAGCTACTCTCACTTATCACTTGGCTTTTGCATGACAATTCTTTCGGTAAAATCCATATATATAATGGAAAGTGAATTGTAGTGAAAATGAGATGAAAAGCTACATCTAATGGCCATGCGCCACATGCCGTGCAATGAGGCCTTAATGGCCTTTCACCTTGCTTAATTGACATGCTAAGTGGCATTTCTTGTACTTAGTCATCCCTCATGAGTTCTATTATGCCGCCACGTGGTTATTAGTAATGATGAGTTGCAAATGAAATTGCACCACAACTCATGGTCATTGACCATGTCAAAGCTTAATACGGCCAATTAGCATGCACATGACTTAGATTATAGATTAATCGTAATTGACAAGAATAATTATTTGGGCACGGCTATTAGGCTAATTAGCGCATAATGAAGACATTACTAGGGTTAAACTTTACCGAACTTAAATAATTTTGATCGGAACTTGACTTTCGAAATTAGTTCGAATATTACCTTGACTTAACCTTATTAATTCCAAACTCATTTATTATATAAACGGTTTGGAATTAGATCTGAAAATTTATTCGGTTATTGAAATAATTAAACCGAATACTTAATCGACTAATAGTCGAACTTAAAACTGAAACTGAATAATTGGCTTGAACTTAACTTTTGACGATTAATCGAATATTCTTAATTCAATTCATCTGTCGACATTAGAATAGTTAATCCCAACTCGGTGATGTCCATTTATTAAATAAACGGACTGAGATTTTTTATTATCATTGAATCGGTTAATAAATAAAAATTAACCGGATATACTTTCGACTTAACGTCGAACTTGGAATTTAACTGACTGAATAACTTAGACTTGAACATTAACGTGAATATTTATTAACAAAGGTTAGCTTAGAATTAAAAGTTAGTATTTTCCTTTATTAATAAAATTTAGGGGCGTTACAATCCACCCTCCTTAAAATATTTCCGTCCTCGGAAATACTAAATTGAACGTACAAGCTTAACTCAAAGCTTATACTTAACCAATGACATGACTTGAGAATTCAGTATTTTAATACTGAACAATAGACTTGATCTTAACTGGAGAATCATTAATTCACAATTAAGTGAATTGTTGATTAAGGCTGGCTGAGAATGGACACTTTTCTGAATAAAAGTGTTCCACTGATTATACATGATATTAAAAGCATAATTCTTGAGTGTACTGGTCATCATCTCCTGGCTGATTGTTGATCTTCGGTCTGAACATTGGTTGTGGAAACCCCCAATCGTTGGTACACACGAAATATTTTAGAGATACGCACATGTACAAATAAGGATAACTAGCAACCTTTGTAATTACCTTTTGTGAACATCTACTTGATAAGGCGGAATATCGTTCGCGGCACATTGTAAGGTGGCACACCTGCTCCTCATCATGTGAGTGCGGCACGCTTGCATACAGCACCTGGCGAACATTGCACCTGCGTCGTCGACGTAGGCTGTATAACTGATCATATCTGTACCTCAAGCTAGTAACCTTAATGTACTATAATGATAACTCTCTGTAATTTTCCAGTGTACTGTGACTCCGGCATGGCATCCTTCTCTTCTTATTATATACGTCCTTGAATGGAAAACTCCGGTTGTCACCACGACATTGATTGTTGCTATTGTTGATTGTGTTGGAACCCACGAGGATCTCGATATGCACAAATCACGGACAAACATTCAA